TGTCTAACAGCGGGAATGTTAGATTTATTTATTGGAAAGGAACCGGATTGAGAAGGTCCATTATTATCATAAAGATGTTGTAGATTATTATCATAAGGTTGTTGTAAATTGCCTATATCTGATACCACTTGTTGTGGGTCGTATTGGTTTTGTCTAGCTATTATTTGGTCGTGTTGATTTTGTCTGAAAATTGGAACAGGTTCTGAAGCCGAATGTAAATTATTGTAAGAATACTCAGGTAAGATTACATTATGTTGATTTATTGGGAAGGCATTTGGCTGTGAAGGTCTTCTATTATTATGATAAGGTTGTGGTTGATTACCCATATCTGGTAATACTGGTTGTGGTGCTATTATTGGGTCACATTGATTTTGTCTGAATGTTAGAATAGGTTCCGAAACAGACCCAAAATTATTTTGATTCATTGGAAAAGAATTTATCTGAGGAGATGGAGGTGGTCTATGTTTGGAATAAGGTTGTTGTGGGTAATCAACTGTTTCTGCATGATAAGGGTGATACTGGCTAACTTGTCCATAGTTTGGAGTAGCAACACTTGACCCATAATTTAAAGTAGCAGCTCTTGACCCGTAATTTGGAGTAGCAGCCTTTGACCCATAATTTGGGGTAGCAGCCTTTGACCCATAAGGCGGTGGACCAATCAATGGTTCAGGAGAATTCGTCTGAATCCTGTCAGGTAGAAACGGCAACGTCGAAGATTTAACGTAAGGTGGAAGTGGTGAATCATCAACATTTGGAAGTTTGGGTTCAATGAACGTCCCATTTTTCTTTTTGTCTTTTTTAACAGACTCGAGATGTTTTTTACGCCTTCTTTTAAGAAGTTCGCTGATTCTAAAAAAAGAAAGACAATTAAAAAAAAAAAAAAAATTATTGAATTTTTATTAAAAATAAAAAGGGGTCCTAACCTTTTATCAATTTTGTGACAACAATATTCCTTAAGATTACCTCTGATCATACATATCAGTGGTACATAAAGAATAGCAGCAAACAGGATTCTAAGAGCTGAAAAGATAAAAATAATCAGAGAAAATGCCATCAAACCCACGACAATACGCTGGGACATATCGTCACTATAGTAAGTAATATCCAAATATTTTTTCGCCGTGTTCAATGGAATGAATGAGTAAAGTGTAAATGCATTAATGGCCTGACGAGGCATTTCAGCAAAAACGAGACGTTTCCAACCTATCGAATAATGAATGAATGAATGAATAATTGAATGAATGAATAATTGAATGAATGAATAAATGAATGAATGAATGAATAAATGAATGAATGAATGAATAATTGAATGAATGAATGAATAATTGAATTCATAAGGAAATCAAGAAATAATACATATAAATAATACCTTTAAGTGCAAAGAACACAAAAAAAGCTATCCTGTCTGTCCATTTTGTTGAGTTATTTATTTTATAAAAAAAACAAAAATGCGAATAACTACCAAATGTATAACATTTGTATGCAATTAAATTTGTAAAAGCAAATGAAATATCATCACTTTTCATTACACTTCTAGCTTTTCTAGCTTCCAAAACTAAAAGAATGAAAGATGCAAATATACAACCGACATAAATCCATTTCGATATATAAATAGGAATTGCTGGGTTAACAGTAGAACTCCATCGGTTAAAAATGAGTAAAATTACGGCAGTCCAAACATCAGCAATATAGACAAGAACGGTTTTTAATATAACCAAAAATATAAAAGCATATTGTATCCTTTTTATAGAACACAATTTTTTGTCATTAAATGAATCTACATCAATAAAGGCAAATTTATGATCTCGAACTTCTTCTCTTTTCCACTTTGCCGTTGAAAAGCACATATTCAAAATAGATGAATACTTTAAAGGAATAAGAATGCCGTTTTATTCCTTTGTTAAAGAATATAATGTTTATTATTCTTTGTTTTTTTTTTCAGTCTATTTTATATTTCAACGAAAAAAATTAACATATTCTCAACTATTGAAATCAAATAATAGTGAACACAGAATCTAGCAGATTTATCAAATTATAGGCCCGCTCGGCAAACCTTTAGAACAATATAATAGGTTGATAATTAAATAAAATAAAGTTTTGTGGTTGGAAAGGCTCTCTAAGACAAATAAGGAATGGATTTATTTAATTAGTATTATAAAAAGTTTGGAAACCCGAAAGAATTATATGAAGTTAGAAGGAAATTATTGTGAAAAAAAAAGGAGGGAGAATCGAAAAAAAAGGAAAGGATATTAGTTTGTCAAGGTTGGAAACAAAAATAAGTTCAATCTTTAATATATGTTAACGTTAATTTAATTTTCTTCAAGGAATCAATAATTTTTTGTGTTTGAATTTACAAATATAATTCTTTAGCGGTCGTACCGTTAAACATTGATATATTGGTTTGTTTTTTTGAAATGATAATTGCATTTAATATCGTGTAATTATTTTTCACTAATACGTTTCGGTATCATTATGAATACAGATATTGTGAAATTGCGCTGACACTCACAATCCCAATTCAGATCAATCCGTTTAAAAAAGGAAATCTTTCCTTTTTTTTAAACGATATGACAATATATCGATATATATAGAAGTAATTGTAACTGTTATTCGAACGAAATAAATTAAAGTTTGACTTTTATATAAACATTGCAGAACCCAAAGTTGAAAAGAAAAGTAGTCTAATATCGTTTAAAAAATGTGTATACGAGCAGTCATGATAAATTTACAATTCGAATTTGAATATATATATTTTTTTTATTATTAAGATCTAACCCTAAAATTAGATTTGCATTTATCTCTATCAGTTATAAAGTATTCATTTTATACTATATCGATATACCGTAAATAAATTTTGTGGCGGTATTTTTTTTTTGTTTAATGAATATTTATTTTCCGAGAAGTTTTCGAATGTATGTATGTCAGATACCAATCAAATTTCTCATGCATCACGACATATTTCTTGCATATAAACAAACAAAGAAGCACCACCGAAAAATTGAGTTTCCAAGATTATGTAATATTCAAATACCTAACAATTGCAATCTTTGTTTGGCAACCATACGTATTACTTACACTATCAGGATTTAACGAACGCGTATAGGGCATCTACTATAAGAACCATTTCGTAATCATTCGGTCCACACCGGTCAAAGTACGAACTTTCGAACAATTCTAATTCCAAAGATATCAAATGTTCATCAAAGCAAACATGACTAGGCCATTTCATAAGCGTTCCAACCTTTTTAATAATACAATCCAATTTTTTAAGAAATATAATGTGACCGAATGGTTTTTCTATGTAAACTTTATTTATTACGATCAAATTAATTAACAGGTTATTTTAATTTATTGTTATCAAAGTCTTTGATAACAATAAGCTAAAATAACACCTGTTAATTAATTATAGAACTTGTTTACAATATAAAGAGGTGTTGACATAATGCCGTAACTTATCGTAACTATAATGGGCTACAGCATTTTTTGCCATGACTCATTATTACAAGTTACGGCATTATAATTATGCCTGCATCTCTAATCCGTCCGGATTATCCGTAAATAATAGCGCTAGTATGATGCATTATATTAGATATAACACGCTTTTTATTTTAAAAATATAAAGAATATTTTTTTTAATTGAAATAAATTATCATTTTTAATTGCTAATTAGAGGTTAATATCTAAAATAGGTTTTGAAATTTACTAATATATGGCCAAAAAAATCTAGTTTTTTAAACATAAAATACTATTTTTTTTTGACTTAAAGTTTTCTTAAAATACTAGTAGATCTAGATTTTTATTATGTTATATTAAATACTAATTAGGGGACATCCATAAATAACGTTTATATTGGAGGGGGAGAGGTCGCGAAAAAATAACGCTTTTCTTACTAAGAAGGAAAGGGGTTAACATAATTAATTTATATAAATTTAACTATCTCATGGTCTAGTGGTCAAAAATTGAATTCTTTTGGTACAAATCGATTCCTCTCAATAAGAGGAATCGAATGGTACTAATTTCATCCAATTCTAATCATTAGATCATAAGTTGTTGTCAAAAAACTATTAGTTATATGATTATATAGAATTTTACTATACAGTATAACCAATAATTTTTTTTGTCAATATCTCGTCATCTTATGATCAGACTTAGATGAAATTGATATCATTCGATTCCTCTCAATGAGAGAAATCGAATGGTATAAATTTCATCCAATTTTGTCCACTAGATAATGAGATAGTTAAAATTTTGTTAAATTTTAATTTTATATATAAATATATGGATTTTAAAGTATATCTTTACATAGTCGAGAGGGGGTATATAACATTATTTATGGATGCCCCTTATGACTAGTAACTGGACTCGAATAACTCGAGTTTCGAAACTCGCGAGTTAAATTACGGGAGCCAGTCAAACAGAATCCCGAAAAGGTCAAAATCCCGACAGATTACCCGCATTAAGCATAGTGTTGGTCAATTTTTGTCGGGATTAAAACCTTAAATTACTAATTAGAGATGCAGGCGAATTGTCCCAATGATGCCGTAACTTTGCCGTAACTATATTAAACAATTATAAAAAGTTACGGCACATTTGCTGTAACTTTTTATAATTATTTAATATAGTCATGACATGTTACGGCAAAGTTACGGCATCTCTATTACTAATATAACAATTATGTATAGCAATATTAGAGGTTTCAAAATTAGCGTATTTCAAAGGAGTTTAAAAAAAAAATTTTAAATTAAAATTTTG